AAAAGATTTAAGTCTCCATATAGCTCTGGCTGTCCTCACTATGCAGACCAGATTGACCCTGAACTCTAAAGATCTGTCTGCCTCTGCCTCCCAGTGCTGGGATTAAAGATGTACCATTACACCTGAGTGTTGGGTATACTTTAATATTGAGTAAGCCCTGTAAGAGTCTAAGAAGAGATAATTGGGATTATAGATCTGAAGCCTGAGGTTTCTTGCTGAGATACAGATTTGGGAATAATGAAGTTGTATTCAACATCAATACAGTTATGCAAGGAGAGCATTTTCAGAATCGAGATGGTATATTTCATACATTACGGGAAGGAGATTCCATTGACAGGAACATTGAGAAGAGGGCAGAAAGCTAGGAATAGCAGCCTTTCATGGGGAATAAGGAAACAAGTCTGAGTTTGTCACTAGATTTGACAGGAAGGAAATTCTCTTAAAGAACAACCAGGGAGTATTGAGAGTAGAAGCCATTTAGTACTAAGCAGGAATAGGAGACTAAGGAGTAGAAATAGTGGACATGCTGGCATATACCTTTAATTGCAGCATGTATATTTGTAGAGTTTAAGAGGCTGGATGGTGAGTTTGAGGCCAGCCTTGGTTGCATCATAAGACTGAAGGTACACATGTGGCAAACATGAAGAGCTCTTTAGAGATTTGGCTGTGGATAGAGGAGAAGAAACTAAAGTTATGAATAGAAGATGAGGTGGTGGTTAGGACTTCTGTACATGAGGATGATGTAAGGGGTATCCCACTGTTGAAATGAAGAGCAGGAAGGAGGGTACTGTGAAAACTATAAGTGGGACAGGATCCCCATCAAAACACAAGTGTGGGAGGTCAAGCACAAAACTAGAGAGTTTAGCTTTCGCTAGGTGGGAACAGTGCCTTTCTGTATTTTATCCGTAAACATGTATTTGAGTGTGGTTGTTGAGAGAAAAAGTAGAGGTCAGCCATGCAGTGGTGGCACCCGGGAGGCAGAGGCAGGTAGAGCTCTGAATTGCAGGACAGCCTGGTCTGCATAGTGAGTTCCAGGACAGCCAAGGCTACACAGAAGAACCCTGTCTTAGGGAAAGGGGAAAAAAAAATGGCTGAGGTTAGATTTGTAGTGGTTGCAGTGTGAAGAATGAAGTGATTTCCCTCAGCCACTGCATTCTCATTTGGTGTGGGAGTGGAGATGAAAACAGCTGACGTGGACACACACACAGCGTAATGGTTTTAAAAGAATATGGATTTTAAAAAGATTTTTTTGTTTGTTTGTTTTTTGAGACAGGATTTCTCTGTGTAGCCCTGGCTGTCTTGGAACTCACTCTGTAGACCAGACTAGCCTTGAACTCAGAAATCCACCTGCCTCTGCCTCCCAAATGTTGGGATTAAAGGAGTGTGCCACCACTGCCCAGCAAAAAGATTTTTTTAAAGTAGGGAAGTAGGCTAGACATATTCATGCATACCTTTAATGGATGAATAAGGAAGAGGCTAGTGAGTCTCTGAGTTTGAGGCCAGGCTGATCTATACATAGCAGATCCCAGGCCAGCCAAGGGTATATAGTGAGACCATGACTAAAATGTGGAACACTTAGAAAACTGTGGTATGTAGACTGGGCACCAAGGTGCTTAATTGAGGTTGAAAGACTGGGAAGTAACTGCCACATGTTACATAGGTGCTTTTTGTGGACAGTGAGGAAAAGACAGGACTGCAGAAGAAGATTTGACCTGATTCCAAGATGTCAGTGAATGATAGGTTTGGTGAGTTACTGGAAGAGGAGGGTTGTGGATAACACCACTAGTTCTGTTTAGTTTACAAGGGTTTGTGTGAAAGTGAAGGGCAGCGTATGTAATTGGTTTGAGGGGAGGGCATATGGAATGTGAGGGAAGGAACAACATGAGTATAAGAAGGTTGGAAGGGTCAAGTCCCAGAGCTAGATTTCAGCTCACCTAAGGAGGGGAGATACACTGCTAGAGGAAGTCCTTGTTGGGAACCCACAGCTTAGAAGATGGCAGCTTACAAAGTGGAACTAGTGGCATTAATCTCCTGTCCCCTAAAACAAGATGCATGAAGCATAAAAAACTCAACTACAAAATTCCTGTGCAGCATAATTACAGATAACTAAACTTGAAATGTTGTATTTAGACATTGAGATTCATTACCCATACAAATCAGGAGTCCCTTGGACTCCCACAGTAGAATTCATAATTTCTTTACCCTTCTGTAGGGTTAGCAGGTCCTCAGTGTTCATAAGGACAAGGTAGCCAACCAAGAGGATTTACTATATCCACCATAGAGATACCTGTATTTCCCCAACTTATTCCTGTGATAACTGGAGGACTAGGAATATAAGCTGTTTTAGCTTGGATTTTATTGCTTCGAAGAGACACCATGACCAAGGCAACTCTTGTAAAGGACAACATTTAATTAGTACCTGCTTGCAGATTCTGAAGTTCAATTCATTATCATGGCAGGAAGCATGACAGTTCAGGCAGGTATGGTGCAGGAGGAGCTGAGAGTTCTACATCTTGATCCGAAGGCCACCAGGAGAGACTGTCTCCCAGGCAGCAGAGGAGGATCTCTAAGCCAACCCCCACAGTAACACTTCAGCAAGGCCACACCTAATAGTGCCACCCTCTGGGTCAAGCATATTCAAACCACCACTCCTGGCCCCATAGCTTGTTCAAATACATGAGTTTGGGGACCATACTTAGCTATATAGCATAATGAGAAATACATTTAGTCCAACTTCAAAGGTTCCCATAATCTGTAACAGTCTCAACAATGTTAAAAGTTCAGTCTCTTCTGAGATTCATCCAATCTGTAAAGTCAAAATCAAAAAGCAGATCTCGTACCTCCAACATCACAGGATATACACTATTCCAAAATGTCATAATAAGGAAATTCTGGACCAAAGCAAGACAGGAAACCAGCTGGTCAAACTTGAAACTGTCTCCATGTTCAATGTCAAAGTGCTCGTCAGATCTCAAACACCTTTTGAGCCGGGCAGTGGTGGCACATACCTTTTAATCCCAGCACTTGGGAGGCAGAGGCAGGCAGATTTCTGAGTTCGAGGCCAGCCTGGTCTACAGAGTGAGTTCCAGGACAGCCCGGGCTACAGAGAAACCCTGTCTCGAAAAACCAAAAAAAAAAAAAAAAGAGAGAGAGAGAGAGAATCGGCTCCACTGTCATTTTTCTTTTTTTTAAAGCATTTATTTATTTTATGTATGTGAGTACATTGTAGCTGTCTTCTGACACATCAGAAGAAGGGACAGCAGCAGAGCTTAACATGCACACACCCAATTTGGTGATCACAGGGATGAGTGAGCAATGGAGTGTCTTTTTTTTTTTTTTTAAATAAAGATTTACTTACCTATTTTATGTATATGAGTACACTGTAGCTGTCTTCAGACACTCCAGAAGAGGGCATCAGATCTCATCACAGATGGTTGTGAGCCACCATGTGGGTGCTGGGAATTGAACTCAGGACCTCTGGAAGAACAGTCAGTGCTTTTTTTTTTTTTAAGGTTTTTTCAAGACGGTTTCTCTGTGTAGTCCGGGCTGTCCTGGAAGTCACTCTGTAGACCAGGCTGGCCTGGAACTCAGAAATCCGCCTGCCTCTGCCTCCCAAGTGCTGGGAATACAGGCCTGCGCTGCCACCACCACCCAGCTCAGTCAGTGCTCTTAACCGCTGAGCCATCTCTCTAGCCCTCCAATCTCATTTTCCAAACTTCTATAATAAACTGTCTCCCAGTTCCTTGACTCACTGGTTCTTCAGAAGAAGCTCTAAAACTTATTACTAGTGTGGTCGTGCAAATTTTTAATCCCAGCATAGGCAGATCTCTGAGTTCAAGGGCAGTCAGGGATGTACAATGAAAACCTGACTCAAAACTAACATTGTCACTGACCATTCAATTGGCTGCTTTCCCTTACCTGATGGAAGTAGCAACCTGTCCAATTTAGGTATCTTTGGGACCCCATCCCTAGTCTCAAGGCCCTGTTATGGGGCTGGGGGTGCCCTCAAACCCCGTGGTAATTGTCCATCTCATGTTTGTAACAGTGGCTCTCAATCTTCCTAATGCTGCAACCCCTTATGTTGTGGGGGCCCCATCATAAAATTAATTTTGTTGCTATTTCATAACTGTATTTTTGCTGTTGAATCTTAATGTAAATACTTGATATGTGACCCCTGTAAAAGGGTCGTTGAACCCTAACTGAGTAGCAACTCACGGATTGAAAAACTTTGGTCTGTAGTGCTTGAGGATAAGCAGGGCTTAGATGTTATTAGAATCCTGTCTGTCATTACAAGAATGCCCAGGAAGTCTATAAAGTGCACACATGCATAAATACCAGACTTTCCTGAATTGTGGGGTTTTTTGTTTGGGGTGGGGGAGAGAGCTGTTGAGACAAAAATCTCATCATGTGACTGGCTGGCCTTGAACTATGTGCATCTAGCTGGACTCGATAGAGATCCGTTTACCTCTTCCTCCTAGAGTGCTGAGATCTGCGGTGTGTACCCCAATACGCCCTGCCAATTCTGGTTCTTGGGGCATGTACATGGGTGTCCTGGGTGCCACTGTGAGCGTGTGCAAAGTAACTGTGCGCAGTCGGTTCTGTTTTCCAGAGATCACAAATTCAGGTCACCAGGACTGAGGTATCTCGCTGGTCCCTGAATTCCGGTGCTCACCAAGGCACATGGGTTTAGCTGTCACCTCCCATCAGTTTTTCACAGGTGGCGTACACATCGCACGACTTTTCGTGGAAAAATGTTGCCGGCTGGTAATCCCAGACTTGGAAAGTGGAGACAGCAGAGTCAGATTCAAGGTCGCTATCCCAGTCTAGCGGGCGCTCAAGGCTAGTGGCAATCCGGCTGCAGTTAGAACAAGCAGAGCACCTCTACCCCGGACACACGGGTCCCAACCACAGCCGCGCGCACCGCGGCCCTGCCGGTGCACTCTACTTCCGCCGGATGTGCGCCGCTGCGGAAGTGACGAGATAGGCCGGGCTGAGAGGCGGTCCGCTTTCTCTGTCGTTCTCTCTCCTTTACACGCGGTTGAGGAAGCCGGTAGGCCTGAGTAGCTCCTGCTGAATAATGCCGGGAAAACTCCGCAGTGGGTCCAAGTTGGGGTCGGACGAGGCCGAGGAGAGCATGGAGACTCTGCCGAAGCCAAGCGAGAAGGTGAGCCTAGGGCCCCGAGCTGGGTCGGCCCGGGTCGGGAGCGCGTGGCCGGCCCTGTGACACGCCGTGCCGGCTGGCCAGGCTTGAGAGTGCGGAAGGGATTGCCGATCGCGTCACAGTGGAGACTGGAGCCGAAGACGGCAAAGTCTAAAACTTGCGCACATGATCGGCATCTGCAGTGACACACAGACACGGTTCTCCCTTTAAAAAAGAAAAAAAAAAAACCCAAAACAGAAAACGAGGTTGGCTAAGTGATCACCCTATTACATAGAAGGATCTGAGTGAGCACTGTTAAATCGCCTTGTCTCTTCTTAATTCCTTGCATGAGAAGATTTAACTTGTGACAGTCTCTAATGATCAAAGTAGGAGGGAACGAAAATTGTACCGGAACTCCTATGTTGTACGATTTAGTTGAGGGTTTTGCTGTCTCCGGGGGCTTTTAAGGTAGGAGCCTTTTAAAGAAACAGCAGAGTGGTTTGGATTAGGTGGAAACCACAGCGTTCCCGGCTTGCATCCGCGTGTTCAGCTGCCTGATGCTGAAGTCAGGAGGGAGGGACCTGAGTACGCGTTTATGTTCCAAAATCGACTTCGTATTTTTCACATATGTAATAGATGTTCGTGGGGCGGAGAGATTGTCCATAATCCATTATTTTAAAGATGATTTTTGTGGTACCAGGGATCAAACCTTGGGCCACTCACGTGTTGGCAGGTGCTGTACCACTGAGTGGTGGTAGCTCTAGCCCTTCTTAGCCCAGCAGTTCTCAACCTGTCATATTCTAATATTCTGCATATTAGATGTTTACATTATGATTCATAATGGTAGCAAAATTTGAAGTAGCAACATTATTTTATGGCTGGAGATCACTAAAACATCAACTATTTGGAGGGTTTCCATGATTTGAGAATTTAGCTCATTGCAATTTAGTCCTATACTTACTGCCTGGAACACTACTAGAGTTTTGGAGGTGGCTAGTAATCAGGACAAATTTTCGTGATGAGAAAAATTGTACATTTAAATAAAGTCCAAGTAAAGTTTCACAAACGAAAATGATAGGTTGGGTGAAATTTTTTTTGGCAGTTTTTGTTTCATATAGTGTCTATGTGAATTCACATTGAAGCACAGGTTTCTTGAGTGTTTTACCATATAGAAATTTAGGAAGAAAAACCTGCTTTTACAATCGTTTGTCTGAGTTCTATCTCTTTCACAGTTACCTTTTGGACAGTGCTTGCTCACTGTTACTGTGTGTGTCCTATGTGGGGATGGATATGCTTGCCCCTGCATGTACAGAAGTTAGAGGGCAATCAATGTTGAGTGGGTGCCTTTATCACTTGCCACTCTACCCTTATGCCCAAGACATCATTTCTCTGTGTAACCCTGGCTATTCTGGAACTTCCTCTGTAGACCAGGCTGGCCTGAAACTCAGAGATCCACCTGCCTCTAACTCCTGAATGCTGGGATTAAAGGTGTTTATCACCACTTCTCTGGCTTGCAGAGATACATACCTTTAGGAACAATGTTTCTCTCTGTATCTGCAGCTGATTCACCTGGGCTAGCTAGCTTCCCACTCAAGCCCCACCAGCTAGGGTCACAGGCATGTGCCACCACACCCATTTTTTTCTGTGGGTGTTAGAGCTTCCTGTCAAGCCTTCATGCTGGCACAGTAAGCATTTTGCCCCCGAACCATTTTTTGGAGTATGTAGTTTGGAGCCTTAGGGGAAATTTCTTTAAAAAAAAAATTAGTTTTATAATGGTTGGCCAATATGATCTGAAGACTTAGTTTGAAGAACTCTTTTATTACCCCATGCTAATGATTGTTGGTCTATACTTATTTCCATTTAGCTAAGAAGTAGTATTAAAAAGCATACTGAAACCTTTTTGGTTTTTCGAGACAGGGTTTCTCTTTATAGCCCTGGCTGTCCTGGAACTCACTCTGTAGACCAGGCTGGCCTCGAACTCAGAAATCCGCCTGCCTCTGCCTCCCAAGTGCTGGGATTAAAGGCATGTGCCACCACTGCCCAGCGGAAACTTTTTTTTTATTAATTTTTTTAAATTAAAATTACATTAAGCCAGGTGTAGTAGCACATGACTTTAATCCTAGGAGGCATAGGCCGTCAGATCTCCTGCGAGTTTGACACCAGCCTGGTCTGCAGAGTTCATTCCCAGGACAGCCAGACAGCCATTAATTACGTCATCGCTCCCCTCCCCTTTCCTCCCTTCAGTGCCTTTCATTCCCACTTTACTCATTTCAGATTCATGGTCTCCTTTTAAAGTGTTTGCACACGCGCGCCCACACTTCTAAACACAGCAGCTCGGTCCACATTACCTAGATGTGTGTAATTTCAGGGTTGATTTTTAACTTATACAGTGTTGAAATGCCTAAAGCTGTATTTTTCACAACTATAAGTAGGCCTGAAGTAATCCAGAATTGACGGGCTTTATACAAGTATAGCCGCAGCTTTGTTTATTGAGGTTTTTGCTGTGTCTTCTGTAAATTTTTAGAAAACTAAAAAAGAGAAGCCAAAATCTAAGACCGAAGAAGCAACAGAAGGCATGGAAGAGGCCACTTCCTCCAAAGCGAAAGCAGCTAAAAAGAAAGGGCCTTCTGAAGATGATGTGGAGCCCCCTAAACCCAAGAAGGCCAAGAAGCAGGAGGAGGAGCCTCAAGATGACACTGCTTCAAAAAGCAAAACCTCCAAGAAGAAGAAGGAGCCCCTTGAGAAGAAAGCAGCCTCCACTAAAACCAAAGAGAGAAAAACCGAGGAGCCTTCCGAAGAAGAGGCAGACGCTCCTAAGCCCAAGAAGATGAAGAAAGGGAAGGAAGCAAATGGAGACATGGGAGAGAAAAGCCCCAGGCTGAAGAATGGACTCTCCCATTCCGAACCAGACTCCAACCCTGAAGAAGCTCCTGCTGAAGAGAGCAGTAGCGAGACAGAGAAGGTGAGTGTGTGCCTCTGTGTGTGTGTGTGTATATATACAACACTTGCAGGAGTTCATTCTCCTTCCACTGTGTGGGTCCTGGGGCTGGATCTTGGGTTGTCAGGCTTGGGGATAAGTTTTCCCACCTACTGGCAAAGTTGTACTAGGCTATTAAATTGTTAGAGAAAAATAGGTAGTAACTACACGTAATTGTAATCACTTTAAAAGTATTTGGGTGGTGGAGGTTGAACCAGGTCCTTGAGCACGCATTCTGTCTTAATAGTAGAAGAAAATTTGTTGTCAGCACCTCTTTGGAGTATGTAACAAGCTGCAGAGAGGCTCTGGCCGCCATAGGCTCCATCGGTATGGGGTGCACAGACATGCAGATAAAACACCCATACCCATACATAAATAGGTAAACAGAAACTGTATCCTGTCATGCAAGGACACTGTTTACAAAGGAGGGTTGTTGAAGTTAACAGGAAAGCCTTGCTTCACTTGGCAAATCTGAAAGCACTGGAAAGTTAGAACAGCTGTGTAACTCAGTCCCAGGTCCCTTCTGTCACCGAATCTTGATCCCTTTTAACAAACCACCAAGCTGAGGTGTGCTTGCCGCTGGGTTGCTTGTGTTGAACACGGTCACATGTCTACTCTGGCACAGATTTTGTGATTGTCCAGAAACCTGGGGAAGAACAGTGCTGGCTGGGTGTATTGGCTCATGCCTGTAACCCTACCACCATGGAGGCTGAGGCAGGAGGATCTGGAGGTCCAGGCCAGTCTGGGGTTACACAATGAGACCCTGTCTCAAGAGAGGAAAACCTTCATTCTATGAAAGCTTCTTTTGCTTAGGTTTGCGGTGAGTACTTACAGGTTTTTCCTGACTGAAAAGTATCAGGAAAATAGGAAAATTTACCCCAAAGGAAAGAAGCTCCCTAGAATTTTAGCTTCCCTCCCTCAGTAAACTACCAAGTCCTCTGCAGGTAGAGAGGTAGCCAGTTGGCAGTTTTGATGGTTCTTTACAATGTATGTTATACATATATGACATGCTAAGTATATTTAATAGTTATGTAATGCATGTAATATGTTTAGAAATCGACTTCCTCATTCCTTTTCTAGTAAGTGGTTGGTTTAATAATATTTTTTCTAGGTTTATTTTAGTATTTTTATGTGAATGGGTGTTTTGCTTGGATGTGTATCTGTGTGCATTGCTTGTACCTGCTACTCTTTGGATCCCCTGGAACTGGAGTTAGGATGGTTGTGAACCTCCATGTGCATGCTGAAAATCAAACCTGCACCTCTGCAAGAGCAACGAGTGCTCTTTACTGCTGGGCCGCGTCTCCAAACAGTTGAGTTTTCTCCTTAAACTTTTTTGTTTTTTTTTTAAGATTTATTTATTTTTATTTATATGAGTACACTGCAGCTGTCTTCAGACACACCAGAAGAGTACATCAGATCTCATTACAGATGGTTGTGAGCCACCATGTAGTTGCTGGGAATTGACCTCAGGACCTCTGGAAGAGCAGTCAGTACTCTTAACTGCTGAGCCATCTCTCCAGCCTGTCCTTTTTAATGATGAGGTCTCACTTCGTATTCCTGGGTAGCCTAGAACTCACAGCGATCTGCCCCTCAAATGATAAGAATAAAGGCACACCCTAGGCCTCTTCCTTAGGCATCTAGGTGAGTTGAGACAGGGTCTTGCTGTATATACTTTGAGACTGGCCGTGAACTCACTGTACAACACAAGAGAACACAAGGTGTTTATCTGGAAGTTGGAGAGAACTTTGAAGAATCGTTTCTTTTTCCATCGTGGGGTCTGAAGTTTGAACTCAGTTGTCTTGTCAGGTTAGCCAGAGCTTTTACAAACCAAGCCTTCTCACCTGCCCGTCTTTGATTGGTTCATAAAACTAATATGTTTAGGTGAGCTGTTCTCTTTTTAAAAGCCATTCAGTTTTTGTGGAGGGCTGGCACACATTCCATGGCATGTGCGTGGAGGCTGGACAGCTTGTGGGGTCAGTTCTCTGTCTGCTTTCTGGGTTCTGCTGATCAAACTCAGTTCCTTGGAGTCAGACAGCAAGTGCCTTTTCCAAAGACTTCCTTCATTCACTTGTGTGTGAATGACTGATTCTGTGGTCTTTTGCTTTGACAGGAAATACCCATTGAAGAGAGAGAAGGAGCTTTCTCTAATTTTCCCATATCTGAAGAGACTGTCAAGCTTCTCAAAGGTGAGGTCCAGAGCATCATAACTTAACTCTCTCTGTTGTGGTGAATGGAGACCAGTTCTTCCTGCAGGCACCTATGCTACACTGGGGGAGACCCGTGCGTTACACTTGGGGTTGTGCTGTTTGGGGTCAGTTATTAAAACTGAGTCCACATTTAGAAGTGTGATGATTAGGCTGGGCGGTGGTGGCGCACGCCTTTAATCCCAGCACTTGGGAGGCAGAGGCAGGCGGATTTCTGAGTTCGAGAGTTCGAGGCTAGCCTGGTCTACAGAGTGAGTTCCAGGACAGCCAGGGCTACTCAGAGAAACCCTGTCTCGAAAAACCAAAAAAAAGAAAAAAAAAAAAAAAAGAAGTGTGATGATTGACACACTTTCTGTGATCTCTGTCATCTACTCCCACCTGAGGTTAATGTCTCCAGGGTGTTGGATCCTTTGATCTGTCTGTTCCAGCTGAGTAGTTCAGTTGCTTCCCCCAGTACAGTATTGACGAGTACAGTATTAAAGAGTCATAGTAACTCCGTTTTTAAAGTTCAGATGAGCTTATAGGTGAGATTTGATCAAAAGTCACAATCACACTATTTAAATTACAGTGAAAAGTTATTAAAAATAGTTTTCAGTCTAGTGGGTTCTTCCCTACTAGGTATGTATTGACCCTGACTTTGTAGATGTTTGTGAAAAGGTAGAATCTGGGCAAAGGAAAGAAGAAAGAGTCTAGAATCCCCTAATTCTGCAGGACACAAGTATGACTGTGTTAGTTAGAGTTGGTAGTTTAGCAAAGTTTGCTCCCTAACACTGGAACTAAAACAAAGGTAACCCAGTTGATTCGTTGACAGCTCGTGGGGTGAACTTCCTGTTTCCTATACAAGCCAAGACATTCCACCATGTGTACAGTGGGAAAGACTTAATTGCCCAAGCACGGACAGGAACTGGGAAGACATTCTCCTTTGCCATCCCTTTGATTGAGAAACTTCAAGGTGGGCTACAGGACAGGAAGAGAGGCCGAGCCCCTCAGGTAACTATCTTAAGTGCATCACAGGCTCAAGGACAGTGTCCAGAACCTCAGAGGTCCTTGTCTCACCGAGCCTCTCATAGGCTGGGGTGAGTCTTTCAGGCGCTTAGCCATCAGCTCTGTGTGTTCGCTCCTGTAACGTGCCCCCTGCTTGTGATCATCCATGCTTACTAATGTTTGTATTGCCTTTAAAATGTTGGGGGCGGTGGTGGCGGACGCATGTCTTTAATCCCAGCACTTGGGAGGCAGAGGCAGGCGGATTTCTGAGTTCAAGGCCAGCCTGGTCTACAGAGTGAGTTCCAGGACAGCCAGGACTATACAGAGAAACCCTGTCTCGAAAAACAAAAACAAAAAAAATGTTGGATGTTCTCAGGGCTCACAAACCTGGTCCTGGAGATTGATTGATTGATTGATTGACTGACTGACACGGGCTCTGTAGACTTGGCTGGTCCCTGGCTCACAGAGATCCACTTGCCTCTGCCTCTTGTTCTGGGAGTATAAAGGTATCCACTACCATGACTGGCTTCTGGATCGTTGTTTCTGCTATTGCCCAGAATGAGCCAAGTGAGTGTAAAGAGTCTGTCTACAAGGGTTGGCCCTTGAGTCCAAGCCTGGCCTCCACCTGGCCCTTGGACTCCTGTCATTTACTCTTTAATGTCTGCCTCAGAGGTTGTTGAGAATTAATCGGAAAGTGCTTCTCAGCGCCTAAGGCACCAGGGAAATGTGGAACATGAGCTAATGTGGGTGTAGCTCCTCCAGGTGGTTTTCCTGGAACTTGGTAGTTGTACACTAGTTCTCTGGAGCAGCAGCGCATACACACCTACTTGTGAATGGTGTAACCACAGGCTGTGAGAACACTGCCTGGGGGCAGTATTAGCTCCTGTCCATGAAGCACGTGGGATTTATCACAGAGCACATGGTGACTGTTTGTGTGTATGGCAAGATGGGTCGGATGAGCTGAGCATTGTGAATTGTGGAGTGCCAGAGAGACAGTTGTTGCACCGCACTTTGAAATCCTGGGTTTCTCTCTTTCAGGTGCTAGTTCTTGCACCTACGAGAGAATTAGCAAATCAAGTGAGCAAAGACTTCAGTGACATCACCAAAAAGCTCTCAGTAGCTTGTTTTTATGGTGGCACTCCCTACGGTGGTCAAAGTAAGTACATTCAAAAGCTGGGGGAGGGTGTTGTGGGTGCCCCTCAACTTGAAGTGTGTCACATTCTTGGTGTTTCTCTCTTGTCTGCTGTTTAAGGGTGTCGCAGAGCAGGGTCCTAGGTGAGTCTAGGTTAGGTAAGTCTTCGTTAGGGTGTGTAGTATTTATTGACTAACAGGACAGACCCAGGGTGTAGTCTTGTCTCCTTTACATGTGCATTTCTTGCTGCAGGTGGCCCTTTTTTCCACAAGCATCAGCTAAGGGTGCAGTCCCTTCTTCCTATTCTATTACTTCCTAGTCAGGACCATGCTCTCTCTAGGACCAGGAGGATCAAACATCAGCACACAATGAGTATGGTTTCCATCCTCAGGCTTTGGAAGGCCTGGGTTTGATTGAGTCTTGACTGATCCCATCCTAATTAGGTGTCCCAAGTTGCTTAGTTTTCCTGTTTGTGAAGGTTGCATGAAATAACAGGGTACCTAGTGTAGTCCGTAGACTGCAGCGGCAGCACCGTCAGAAAAGCCTCCAGATTGCCTCCACATCAGACGCAGTGGGTGTTTCTCTAGAGTAGGTGCCCTTCTGCACCATCTCACTTTCTGATGCCCAGTCATCCCACAGGAGGAGCCTGTTTTCTTAGTCTCACATGAGTGACAGCAGGAAAGAGGGCTGAGTTCAAAAGCATCCCAAACTACATACTGATGCCCTGTCTCAAAACAAACCAAAATAATGTTTCTAGTTCTCTAAGATAATCACTTATGGTCGGTGAAGTCTTGATATTTTCTGCCAGCCAAACAGGAAGTCATTCTTGTGCCACCATCTCCTGGTGGATCATTTTCTACCGTATTAGTGCGTGTTAGTGCGCTGGCCCAGTGCTCACAGGAGTGGCTGCACCTCCGGGGTTGTTGCTGTCATTACTTATCACGTATTAGTAGCTCTCTAATAATGGTTTAAGATGAAATGTATTTAAATGGATTCTCCATGCTTGATAGAAGGAGTCTTAAAACAAGACATCTCTTCTTTGGTATTTTTTTACAGTTGAACGAATGCGGAGTGGGATTGATATCCTGGTTGGGACCCCAGGTCGTATTAAAGACCACTTGCAGAATGGCAAGCTAGATCTCACCAAACTTAAACATGTTGTGCTGGATGAAGTCGACCAGATGTTGGATATGGGTTTTGCTGACCAAGTGGAAGAAATTTTATGTGTGGCATACAAGAAAGGTAAGCCCCATATTTAAGGGACTGACAGAGGACCTAAGGAAGGTTCATGGTGAAATTATCTTCTAGGAGATAATTAAGGACGCTTTTCCAGTACAGGGTTTCTCTGTAGCCCTAGTTGTCCAGGAATTCAGTCTGCTCAAGGCTGGCCTTGAACTCAGATTCTCCTGCCTCTGCTTCCTGAATGCTATTATTAAAGGCATGTGCTACCACTACCTGGCTAAAATTTGGAATTAAAAAAAAATTTTTTTTAACTTGAAAATTGAAAAAAGATTTGTTATGTAATTGGTGAAATCTTGCGAGAATAAAAGAAGAATTTCATATTCTGCCGGCTTGCTACACTGTTCCTCACGGCTTTCAGTGTATGTGTACTAAGTGTAAATCGACTGTTAGTAAGACTTTATCAAGTGATTTATTCAACCACCTACGTGGTGTTTTCACCGTTACTCATACAGAGGGTTTCGGTCACAGTTGGAGTTCGTACCTGGAATTGGATCTATACCACAGATCTTCATAAGCAGAGTTACTGAGTGAGCTGTAAACTGCACTGATCCGGTTCTGTCAGCTTGTGCCCTTTGGGGCTTCTGAGAACGTTAGTGCTCCTAGGTCCAGATGAACAGATACGCTGAGGATCTTTTGTTGTCTAGGGGTGCTGAGGATGGAGCTGAAGTCCTTGTCTCTGGATTGCACCCCCTAGTCCTAGTTCTAGGTTTTTAAAATACTGCTGTGGGTTTTGTTGCAGGCTGTTTAGTTAGCAATCCATGCTGGATCCTGGATTTAAGGGATTGATTGTCCCGTTGGTGGGCCTCCTTCATGGGATGGATTTCCTGTGAGTGAGAGAGGCAAAGGCTGGAAACAAAACTGACTGCACATACTGTGGTCAACTGGGGATCCTTATGAGGACGGATGCTTACAGTTTTTGTGTGGTGGGAGTGGTCGGCATCTTTTTTATTTTTGTGTCATGGATGCCTGGCTGGCTGCCCTTGGTCAGGGGTAATGGTGCTGCGTTACAGAGGTGCCAGCCGAGGTGGAGTGCTGTGTCTGTAGGCTTGCTTGGATTATTCACACTGACTTCTTTTTCCCCCAAGATTCTGAAGACAACCCCCAAACATTGCTTTTCTCTGCAACTTGCCCTCATTGGGTGTTTAATGTTGCTAAGAAATACATGAAATCTACATACGAGCAGGTGGACCTGATTGGTAAAAAGACTCAGAAAGCAGCCATAACTGTGGAGGTAAATGATTCATTTAGTTGCCAGAATTAGTATTAAATTGTCAATCATTCTGTTTCCTGTCTGATACTTTCAACAATAGAAAATACAAGCTCTCTTTCCAGATAAATACTAAGTCCCTGTGCAGAGCCAAGTAACATTTCTTTTATGTCTGGTGTCTGTGCTTTCTGGATTTCACCATCTAGCAGCCTGATTTCAGAGTCTTTGGAACCTTGTGTTTGAATTAGATAGATAAACAGCTTACATTTAGAGTTAGCCGCTAGAGGGCAGCAGAGTGAGCTGGTGCATCATCTTGAATCTGTTTCATCTTAGGCTCCGGTACCTAGATGAATTCATTTCACCCAGGAGCAGGCCTGTGCAGCCTTTATTACAGGTTGTATTTTAAGTGGAAGAAGGAGCATAGTGCACACAGGCCCTTTTTTGTCTGTTATTTGGTTTCCTGCAGGAGTCTGGGAAATAGTATTTCCTAATTACCTAGAATGCAATGATGCCAGATGCTCTTTGGAAAAGGGTGAGGGGCCTGGCGACAGACCGTGTTGCTCCTGACTTTGGCTTATTTATTTCCTTTTTCCCTGTAAGCAGTGGCAGCAGACAGCCCTGTAAGGCCTGCATTCACTCCTGTACCAAGCGATAGACATAAGGGTTGAGAAGGAAGCTGTAATGTCCATCTGGGTTTACTGAGTGTTGGTTCTTCTCTTAAGCACCTGGCCATTAAGTGTCACTGGACTGAGAGAGCAGCGGTGATTGGGGATGTGATCCGAGTGTACAGTGGTCATCAAGGGCGCACGATCATCTTCTGTGAAACCAAGAAGGATGCCCAGGAGCTGTCGCAGAACACGTGCATAAAGCAGGTTGGTCCTTCTCGTGCCTGAAGCCTCTCACTGGGTCTTCAGTGAGTCTTTACCTTGGCCTCTGGCTTCATTCTGCTTTTCAGTTACCCAGTGACTTCCAGATTGTGTTAGACTAGGGAAATGTCTCTTAATGGTCAGGGTCCTGCCTCATAATTTCACGGGTAAAGCTACGCTTCAGAGTACGCTTTAGGTGGTGTTCTCAACCTTGGAGAGTGTAGTTACAAACAGCCAATGTAACTGCAAACAGTTGAGAGACTTTTCCATGTAAGAAACAGGTGCAAGAAGGCGTCTGCTCTTCGTAAAATAAATAAATCTTTTTAAAAAGGAAAGTTTTGGAGAGATGGGTCAGTGGTTAAGAGTACTCTTTGCTTTTCCAGAGGTATTGTGTTCCCTGCAACCACATGGTGGCTCATAACCATCTATAGTGAGACCTGATGCCCTCTTCTGGCCTGCAAGTGTACCTGCAGACAGAGTGGTCATGCATAAAATAAGTAAATTTTTTAAAAAAAGGCATCTGCTTTTCCCATTGTGGTGTTTCCAAGAGGATTCCCTCACTGAGCCTTTGGGCCTGTTGGAGGGTGTGGTGTTAGATCTGGGATTCTGAATTCTGAGGTCAGTTTATTTCTTTGGCAGGATGCCCAGTCCTTACACGGTGACATTCCACAGAAGCAAAGGGAAATCACCCTGAAAGGTTTCCGAAATGGCAATTTTGGAGTTTTGGTAGCAACCAATGTTGCTGCCCGTGGGTTAGACATCCCTGAGGTTGACTTGGTTGTTCAGAGCTGTCCACCAAAGGTATGTTTGGTCTTATGTTTTCGTTGTCTTTTAATAACAATACAGAATTACTGCTTTTGTTTCTTTGGGTTACTAGAAGTCACTTCATTGACTTTTATGCAGTTTTCAGGCCCTTCCTGATTTTTTTAATTCTACACAGTCAGATTAGATGGTTGGGTGGATGGAAAGAGGAAGGTTACAAGTTATCTACACACTCAGCGTTGGCTTCTCCATTTTCCCGTAGATTTCATCATCTCATTGTTTGTACTGTGTACATTTTCCTTATCGATTCATCTTTAGGACATCTTTAGGCTGGTTCCATGTCCTATTTTGACTATTTTATAGAACATTCTAACTTGTGAGTGAACAGAATTACATAAGATGCATTACTAACATCAGTTTCAATACTTCAACTGCAGCCGCCACTTGAAGCTTGGGAATGCACGTGACTTTGGGCTCTGTGCACACGGGATAGGGGCTGCTCTGTGAGTGGTATTGTCACTTGTGCACACAGGATAGGGACTGCTCTGTGAGTGGTATCATCACCGAGCACTGCAGGGGCTGCCTAGTCTTTGACATGTCACTCACATGCTTGGTTTTCACAGGATGTGGAGTCTTACATTCATCGTTCGGGACGGACAGGCAGAGCTGGAAGGACAGGGGTTTGCATCTGCTTTTATCAGCACAAGGAAGAATACCAGTTAGCGCAAGTGGAGCAGAAAGCGGTAAAGTGATTTCCTAACTTATATTCAACACATGCTAAGCTCTGAAGGCAAAGGCAGTCCTTGGAATCGTGGCAGCAAGCTGTGTTTTCTTTGCTGGTCCTTAGAGGCCTGATAACTAACTTGCATTTGAAATGACAATACATTTTGTACATGTGAAAGATAGTTCTTAGGTAATAGTGTTAGTATGATCAGAAATGCTGCAGAAGGTAAGAGAAGGAAGGGTAGAATGAATTATTAGAAGTATAAAGGGGCTTGGCATGTGGTACATGTAGCTACAACACTTGAGAGGCTAAGGCAGGAGGGTCACTGTGGGTTTAAGACTGTCTTCAAAGGGGGAGGAGAGACTAAATTTCCTTCCAGAACTGATAATTCTGTAGCTAATCCTTCCTCTCCTCGAACTTGTGTGTGGGTCAGAAATGGGTGCGGCGTCCATCAGCACAGCGGCAGTGGTGAAGCGCTGTCCCTGAAGGGGAGATGGGTGCTCACAGTGTGGAGTTAATTCCGTCCCCAATCCCACAGCCTCAGTCTACGGATGAGAAAAGCATCAGTCAGTCAGTCTCACAGTGAGACTAAGGAGCGTAACGCCTTAGAGTGTGAATCTGGGAAACAGGGCCCAGAGTAAAGCGGTCTAATTGATTTAAGAAGTAAGTTACTTAGCCTCAGTAGAAACAGTAATCTTCGTACATGAAATTATGGTTTTCTTGTAGGGAATTAAATTTAAACGGATAGGCGTTCCTTCTGCAACAGAAATAATAAAAGCCTCCAGCAAAGACGCCATCAGGTACAGTCTATACTGCCACCAAGGTCTGTTTCAATGCTGCTTCTTGTACCTTTAATGTTTCTTTTCTTAGTGCTTATGAGGACTAACATGGGCCTGGAGAGATGGCTCAGGTTAAGAGCACTGACTGCTCTTCCAGAGATCTTGAGTTCAGTTCCCAGCAACCACATGGTTGCTGATGACCACGATGACCCAGGATTTAGTAGGAAGTAGGCAAGGGAGTCCACGGGCAGAGGAAGTGCTAGCAGAGCAACTTTTTAAGTTGATTTTACCCTAGCAAGTTTTCCTTAGGGGTACCATGGGGTACAACTAGTTCAGAAAATAGGGGTCTGGTGACCAGGAAGAAGAGGCAGATTCTTGTAGGTGGGTAAGAGATGTTCTTTGAGCTATCAGCCCTTTGCCAGCGCAGCTCACCCTACTTAGCTTCAGGTTGTGCTGATTTGTTACGGCCAAGACAAGGCCAGCCTGCAGCACATACAGTGTTCTGAGACCTGCTGTAGAGCACATGTGAAACCTGCAGAATGTAACTGGCTGTGGTTTTGTCTACTTCTAAAAGTAGCACAATCTTATTAGTGATGTTTTCTTTTGTTTTGAGTTAAATACTGTTTATTTTCTCATTTAAAGGCAGAATGGGGGCTGGGCATAGTGAAGCATGTCTGGAATCCCAGTAGGAGGATAGCCATGAGTGTGAGGCCATCCTGCTGTGCACAGCAGGTTTCAGGCAGATATAGTATAAGTCCTGTCCCAAAGGGCACAATAAAAGGAAACAAATACACAGTGGAGGATCACTGTGGCTTATCCTGAGACAATGAGCCCAAGAGTGTCCAGAACTCGCTGTACTACAGGATGACCTGGAACGTCAGATCCTCCTGCCCCCTCGTCCTCAGTGCCGGCAATGTGACAGTACCTCCAGTTTCTGAAGTGCTAGGGACTGAACCCAGGACTTCTTCATGCCAGCGTAGCCACACCCCCAGCACTCATGCCCATTCTAAAGCTCATTTATTTTGTCATTCTCTCATACACAGGCTCTTGGATTCCGTGCCTCCCACTGCCATTGGCCATTTCAAGCAGTCGGCTGAGAAGCTGATTGAGGAGAAAGGAGCTGTAGAGGCCCTGGCCGCTGCTCTGGCCCACATCTCAGGGGCCACATCGGTCGACCAGCGCTCCCTGATCAACTCACAGGCGGTAAGGTTTTGGTACTTTAAAAAAATGGCTTAATCAAAACTAGAAGAGTTCATTTGAACTTCCTCATTGGCTTCCTCCTTCTAGAGGTACGAAGGCACTGGCTGTGTTTTGCCATTTTCCTAACGAAAAACAGAATCAGTAGGGGCAGAATAAATGGGTGTTTCCCAGGGGTGAGTTGGAAGGAGAAGCAACACTGACTGCTGTGGGTAATAGTTTTCTTTTAAATGAAGGGCTAGTGAAACTCAGCTGGTAAACACCCTGTCACCCAGCCTTACAGCCACCTAAATCCAGTCTCCAGGATCCACATAGTGGAGGCAGAGAACAGATTTCTGAACCTGATTCCTGACCTCTACACATAAGCTGATAGACAAATAAGAGAATTAAAATATGCTAAAACTAGTTGAGTGAGGTAGTGCCCACCTATAATCCCAGCACCCAGAAGCAGGGGATTATGGATTCCTGAGTTCAAGGTCAGCAAGTTCCAGGACAGGCATGGCTACACAGAGAAAGCCTGTCTCAACAAACCAAACAAGACAAGTGCTAGAACTGAATTAAAGTGCACTAACATGAGCGTTGCAGTGGTGAATTCCTTGGGCACATTGAAATCCTATGTGTTTATTGATTGTAGACCCATGTGGCATAAGAAGTACACTGGTCAATTGATTCCCTGTGCTCAACCAGTTCCTCCAGTGCAGAGCCTTTAGAAAGCTAAGGACCTGGGCACTGACATTAGTGTTCCCGACAGTCTTCCTAGGACCGCCCAGTCTGCTGGCGCCCATTGGGTGGCTGGAGAGTGTGTTGTCAGGGAGAGCTTCCCCAGAACAAGAACTTATGATGCCGATTGGGTTCAAGACACAAGTTTATAAGCCAGGTGGTGGTGGCACACGCCTTTAATCCCAGCACTTGGGAGGCAGAGGCAGGTGGATTTCTGAGTTCGAGGCCAGCCTGGTCTACAGAGTGAGTTCCAGGACAGCCAGGGCTACACAGAGAAACCCTGTCTCGGGGGGAGGGGGGGAACGAGGAAGAAGAAGACACAAGTTTATGCGCCTTTCTCCCCTAAGGGCTTTGTGACCATGATCCTGCGGTGCTCTATCGAGATGCCCAACATTAGCTATGCTTGGAAAGAACTTAAGGAGCAGCTGGGTGAGAGCATCGATGCCAAAGTCAAGGGGATGGTCTTCCTCAAAGGAAAGCTGGTGAGTGCCGGGCCTCTGGGACCTCATCTCCTCATCTCGTGGCTGGGGGGGTGGGGGGAGTAGCATAGTGACCAGAGTGTGTCCTCTCCCTGCCTGATGGGTGTTGCATCTCCGTGCTCTCCACAGCTATTCTCAGCACTGTCTTCAGGCTAAGCTGCACACAGTGCCAGACCCAACTCCCAGCTGCCTCCCTGCCGTCATTGTAAGGTAGCTTAGTCCGGCATTTTGAGCTCAAGTTTGAAACTTAAAATCTTAGCACCCAAACTTACCGATACCTTTATGGAAATGAGAATTAAAAGGGCAGATAAGTATTATTGGAGAAGTGGTTCTGACTACGGGATCCTTCTGTGGTCACACAGACACACACATGTACACACAGATGCCGGTGGAAAATCCAGAGCCCAGTATTAGGTAAACATGTTTGTGAGGTAGATAATGCCTGATCAGAGAAACCATGAGGCATCTTCCAGAGGCTGAGGGTAAACACCCCATTGCCACCCCTAGCACCCTGTACTGCAGGATATCAAGCACACCGTCCGTACCAGTGGAAGCTGACCTGGGTTACTGTCTTAGGGTTTCATTGCCGCAAAAACACAGAATGACTAAGGCAAACATTTAATTGGTTCTGGCTTACAGTCCATTATCACCATGGTGGGGACCGTGCAGTGTACAGGCAAACACGGTGTTCCTTCAGCCAAGAGTTCTAAATCTTGATCCAAAGGCAGCCAGGAGGAAGCTAACTTACGCAGCAGTCAGGAGGAGAGTCTCTTGGATGGAGCTTGGAGACCTCAAAGACCTTCTATACAGTGACACTGTCTCATACAAGGCCACCTCCTAATAGTGTCACTTGCCATGGGTCAAGTGTATTCAGCCCCCCACAGTTACTTACAGCGTCTTCCACTCCACGGTGTCCTTTAAGACTGAGCTCAGACTCAGTGCAGCTTCCCAGTCCTTACCTGTATGGCAGAGGTCTTGGGGTATAAATTCACGGGTGGAAAAGTGTAGCTCAACTGTGCCGCCATTACAGGAGCAATTTGGTACTGTTAGGGCCTTTCCCGGACCATGAGGGAAGTGTTTATCATCAGAGATCTGATAGTGTTGACTATATCCCTGTTCTAGTGTTCTCACAGAAAACTGAACTATGGAAAACTAGAATCAGCAAGGGAAGATAATTTACTTTTCTGCTGTTGATTGTGTCATCCTGACTCTGGGTTAGCACAGTATACTAGCTAAGAGTGCCTGCTCAGGCAGCTGCAGACCCTTCCCCTCCTGCTGCTGTTCTCTGGAGCTCCAGTTAGCCACGCTCTAGGGTCCCTTACCTCAGGGCCTGCTACTTTCTCTGTATTTTGACATCAGTGTGATAGTTGGATTAACTCTTCCTCCTTTGGTTTTTAGGGAGTTTGTTTTGATGTCCGCACTGAAGCAGTCACAGAAATACAGGTATTTTCTTTTTGGTTTACTGTTTGTAGACCCAGATCATACAGTATTTATTCTGAAAGCAGAAGGGCAGTGTAGCCGCAGAGAACTGTCTCTGTGTGCTGTTGTGAGCTTGCTGCTCGGCCTGCCTTGCTCTTTGCAGGAGCTGGGCCCATCATCTGCCTGCTACTCTTTGAAGGATGCTCCCCTGTGCGCCTGCCGTAGCTGTGTTTTCTAGCACTGTGCCAAGTGCCTCAGCTGGCTGCAGCAAATTCAAAATGTAGAGTGGGGAGGGCCTTCAGAAGGCTTATCCCCCACACTAGCCATCCGGCTTTGGTGCCAGCAGCTCTTTAAACACTTGGTTAACAGCATGTTCCTTAGAGACATGACAGTTTTCTTGTGACTTTTAATAAAGCCATGGAACAAACTCCCTACCCACAGGAGAAGTGGCATGATTCCAGACGCTGGCAGCTCGCCGTGGCCACCGAGCAGCCGGAGCTGGAAGGACCCCCGGAAGGATATCGAGGCGGCAGGGGTCAGCGGGATGGCAGCCGTGGTGCTTTCAGAGGACAGCGGGGTGGAAGCAGGAACTTCCGGGGACAGGGACAGCGAGGAGGAAGTAGAAACTTCAGAGGACAGCGACCAGGAGGTGGCAACAAAAGTAACAGATCCCCAGGCAAAGGCCAGAAGCGGAGCTTTGGTAAAGCCTTTGGTCAGTAAGTAGAGACCAGAAGGAACTGTAACCACTGTGGACTCGAGGGCCTGTCCTGCTGTCAAAGACCCCAGGGCTTCCTTCCCTTTATCATTTCTCAGCCCCCCCTTCCTTGCAGAGAGAGGCTTCTGAACTGTCTGACTGACCATCATAAACTGCCTTCATTTTGAAAAGGGATAGGAATTGATTGCATCATTTTCCAAAATACTTCTAGGTTTACAAAGTAAAGCCCACTATGGACCTGCCTATCTTTGTGTGTTGATCTTACAATTTGATCTTTGTGTGTGTGCACTCTCCGGGGCCTAAACTCAGAAACACACATGCAGAGCATGCTCACACCCTACAGCTAAACTACATCTCTAGTCTCTATACGTGTCTACTCATATCCTACAAAGAAAGTCCCTTACTGGGTGCCTCAGTCTCTGGAGGACCACACGAGCCAGGGCGGATTAATTTTGCATTCCTTGGCATCCTCCTCACAAACAGTTGCTGTGTTTATATGTGTTGGCTGAGGTTTGATGCTGAGCAGTGCTTTTCAAAAGCCATTTCAGACTTAGCTCATATGAAGAGTTTCTGTCAGGTCTGGATGTTGAGGGTAGAATGCAGACAGCATAGATTTCACTCTATAGTGTCTTCACACACTGTTTATTAGGTGACTTGTGTGCCAGTGAATTCTCCAGACAAGTGTATACAGAAGCACATTTTCATAGGTCCCAATGACTATAAAGTTCAGGCCCAAATGCCTAACGTGTCCAGATTTTTTTTCGTCTGCAATGAGACAGGATAAGTGTTATGGGCTTGTACTCCACTTTTGGAAGATTGATCAGCTGGTGTTGCTGAAGAATGTCTTAAAAAACCCACAAAAATGTCTTTCATCTTGACAAGTGAGGAGGTGGAGAAGCATGCGCTGAGGGTGAGCACTTCCTGAGTCATGGCTCCTGAAGGGAGTGTATCTACTAGTGTGCAGTCTGGGGCTTGTAAAGGGCAGCGTGGGACAAGTGTCTTTTCAGTGGCCTGGATCTTTTTTGGTTTTTTGAGACAGAGTTTCTCTGTGTAGCCCTGGTTGTCCTGGAACTCAGTCTGTAGACCAGGCTGACCTCGAACTCAGAGGTGGGTGGCCTGGATCTTAAACCACAATGTAAGATCTATTTGTTAAGCTGTTTCTCCATTGAAAAATTATCACGGCTCAGAGAAGCCTTCTCTGACAAGCTGTGGCATTTTAAGCGAGATTCTGTACAGGGATCTTAGAACAGGCCTGGAAGGAAATTGTTTGGATCAACTAAGACCTTCATTTTAGTATGTTCCTTACTTACTAACTGGCCTTACCAGACACATGGAATCAAAGGGCTCTGTAACCACCTCAGCTCCTGGTAGTTAGCTGAAGAAGGCCTCGGTTTTCTGTTTAGGTTCGGCTTTCCCCTTGAACTCTGTCCTCTGTGCTCAGAATTCTTTGGGATTTTTTTTTTCCTTTGTTGATAACTGTGGCTTGTAGTAAATATGGGCATGGTTTAATGAAGCATTTCACTACTGGGATAAGAATTTGCCATTTCAAGAAGATGAAAGGACATAGAAGAGGCTAAAACATTTTGAATTAATGAGTTACCCCATAGAAAAATGATCTCGCATAAACCAAACAGTGAAGGGGAAGAAGGGAAGAACTTCAGTTGACACAATCTAAATAAAACATGGCTTTTCAAACAAATGAGAAGTTTCTTTTGGATCGCAGAAACTAAACTATTTATTTGCATAATTCAACTATTACTTGGTTTAAATGGGCTTATTGGGAAATGTTACCCTTTTTACTATTTTCTACAGGGAAAATATTTTCCACTTTATCAAGTAACTCTGGACTTTGCAATTACAGCCTGTTTTTATGTTCCAGCTATATAGTTGTTTCTCTGAAATTGTACATAAAATGTTTTTACATTAAAATGAATTACTGTATAAAGTACTGCATTATGCCATAATAAAGATATCAATGCTTTATATTTAGTTTTTGGTAGCTTTGCTTTTCTTTTCCTTTTTTTTTTTTTTTTTTTTCGAGACAGGGTTTCTCTGTGTAGCCCTGGCTGTCCTGGAACTCACTCTGTAGACCAGGCTGGCCTCGAACTCAGAAATCCACCAGCCTCTGCCTCCCAAGTGCTGGGATTAAAGGCGTGCGCCACCACAGCCCGGTGCTTTTATTTTCTAAAAACAAAAACAGCTTTACATTTTTATAACAGTGACTGCTAGGTATATAAATCTAGTAGAAATTGGGGCTAAGGTATTGGGGCTTGATTAGAGGCTTCATTTTTGTGAATTGCTCTCTTCCACTAGCATTCTATGTTTACCTTCCTATATGTACATACATACATTTTAAGACTTAAAATAACTTTCATTTAGTAAACTTGTCTTCAGGATGGGTTTCACTATGTGGCTTGGCTGCCTTACAATTATGTAGACTTGTACAACCAATTTTAAACTTATCCCTGACTAGCTTACAAATAAATGAGGCCCAGGCTATGGTTATTTTATTTTGCTTTGACAATTTCTGGGGGATAACCTCTAATCTACTTTAATAACTGCTGGCCTGGCTACCTTCCCAGTAGTGTTCCCCCAAGTAATTGTAGTTTGTCGAGGCCATGTTCACTCATGGTCCATCTCATGACTCTTTCTACCCATCTCAAATGCTCAACCAGGTAACTCGGAAACCCACCTACCTCTAATCTCTCCAGTAATTGGCTGTAGCCATTTTTTATTTAACCAATAGTTTTAAATTAAGGAATAAGGTTTGCACAACAAAAACTGGTAAACCTGAGAATTCACTCATAGGCTACAGAATTTAGCATTACAATACATATAAACATTGGCCCTGGGCTGGAGAGATGGCTCAGTGGTTAAGAGCACTGACTGCACTTCCAGAGGTCCTGAGTTCAAATCCCAGCAACCACATGGTGGCTCACAACTATCTGTAATGAGATCTGATGCCCTCTTCTGGTGTGTCTGAAGACAGCTACGGTGTATTCATATATAATAAATAAATAAATCTTTAAAACAAACAAAAAAAACATTGGCCCCTGTGTAAGCCTACAGATAATTGGCACAGTGCCTCGCACAGAGCCTTTATACAAATTTTCAGCGGCTGGCCTGTGGTGGTGTGAAATGGCTCAAACGGGTAAAGGCTGTGGAAGCTGAATCTGAGGACCTGAATTTGATCTCTGAGACTATCCTCTGACCTCCCGAGGACCCTCTCTTCTGACCTACACATGCACTGCGTGGTACACGTTTCCTACAAATACAATTTCTAACTCTGATAGCCTAATGCATTAACAGTGAGCGATTCCTGCCTATCAATTGAGCAATTAACGAGAGATGTTAGGATTAACAACATCCTGAATTTCATTTAAGCTAGGGATTGCGTCTAAGGTAGGCAAGTACCTTACCCCTAAGAATCTTGTTGATTTTGAACGTTTTTATATAAGCTACATCTTGGGATGGAGCAGGAGAAGCCATACTGCACACGGGTGGCAGCGAAAGGCTCTGTAGTCCCTGACAGCTTCGTTTCCCTGACGACGACTGTTGTGGCGACCAGCACGCCCTCCCATTGGCTGCTGCCGAGTGTCTCGCGCGCCCCTCTATCGACTTCATTGGTCGGCGCTCCACAGTCACGACACGTCGTAAGTGAAGTGTCGCAACGCGGAGGCCTTCAGTGGCTGACGGTCCACGGGCGGGGAGGCGGTCGTCAGCTCAGGCCGCGATGGCGACCGCACTGGGGCCGGAGATCCGCGAGAAGTTCCAGGCGGCGCTGGCCCTGTCGCGGGTGGAGCTGCACAAGAACCCGGAGAAGGAGCCGTACAAGTCCAAGTACGGCGCGCGCGCGCTGTTGGAGGAGGTGCGCGCGCTGCTGGGCCCGGCGCCCGAGGACGACGACGAGCGGCCTGCGGACGATGGGCCGGGGGACCAGGCCTTGGGCGCGGGCGAGCCACGGGATGCCGAGGGCCCGGGAGCGCAGCGGGCGCTGCGCCTCGCGGTGGTCGAGTTCCACCTTGGCGTGAACCACATCGACACGGAGGAACTGTCTGCCGGAGAGGAGCATCTGGTCAGGTGCCTGTCGCTGCTGCGCCCCTACCGCCTGTCGCTAGGCTGTGTGTCTCTCTACATCCAGGCGCAGGTGAGATGCTCGGGCCGAGTTCTGCGTCCAAAACTCCTGATGCGCAGGTCTCTCAGTTGGTTCTGTCCCCAGTGTCGCACAACACCCGGCCTGTAACCCCTGCACTCGGGAGGCTGCGGCAGGAGGATTGCTTTTGAGTCCTTGACTAGCCTGGGGTTCAGAGTGAAGCTTAGTCCCTTTTAATTTATCATACCACCTACCCACCATCTGTCTGCCTACTCCCTCTGAATTCTCGACGCCTTCTCCAGCCTCACTTGCGACTTTCTGTAGTCCTGGGCAGAACATAAGCGTCCGAATCTGCGCTCCCCAACTCCATGACCAGCTTGGTTTCATTCTGTGAAGAAATAAACCAACGTGATTGAAATGGAGTGACCATGACAAGGAATCGAAAGAATAATCCGATCTTAAGGTTTTTTTTTTTTAATGTCCAAAATCTTAAAATTTTAGTCCTTACCACATTCTCTTGTTTGCTCAGCAAGGAATTCCTACCTTTTCCTTGAACTGTCTCAAAACCTTTTAATAACTTTTTTTTTGTTTCGTGTCTCCAATGCTTAACTTTGACTTCCTGTCGTCACCTCCTGAGTGCTAGGACCCACTCCCTCCTTTTCTCTTCAGACAGAGCTTTGTTTTGTAGCCCAGGCTGGCTTTAACCCGTGATCCTCTCACCTCAGCCTACGTGCTGAGATTATAGGAATGGGCCACCATAACTAACTCTTGTTTGAACTAACTCTCATTGGTCCAAACGGATCTCCTTCCACCCTTCACATTTTTATAAGAAGCAAGTGTGACTTTCTGCTTTGGAGAACATTACATTTCAAAATTCAAGTAATAGGTAGAGTGGTACAGCATTTACCTAACACTTTGGGTTTCATCTCCACACTATGGGGAGTAACTTGTGCCAGGTTACTTTCTTAGGCTTATAGATGTTTTCTTCCTGCAGTCCATGTATATGAACCAGGGAATATTTATACTAAGATTGACTGTTGGGTATGTAGGCCTTTCAGGAAAGTCTCAAAACTTAGAAGAACGTTGTATGCCATATTTTATTATGGTTCAATAAAATTAAAAGCCAAATAAGAAGTACTAGCCTGTCCCTTTTGCTCACTGCTTACAGCTCCAGTAGGCGGCACAGATAGGGATATTTTACATGTTTGTCTGTGAGCTAAAGCCATTAGTAAGAGCTTTCATTGAAGCAACACATCAGCCTAATGGTGGCTCCCACTGTTAATCCCAGAACTTGGGACGCAGAGGCAGGAGGATCTCTGTGGGTCTGAGGCCAGTCTGGTCTACAGATGAGTTTCAGGACAGCCAAGACTACACAGGGAAAAACCTTGTTTCAAAAAAATCAACCAGAAAAAAAAAATAATCAGAGTAACTCACTTCATTGATTCCTAAATTGAGCTGTGTAGACAGGATTTGGAATCAACCAAGAGAGGCTCCTTTTGCCATGTCTGGGAGGGTGTTTCCAAAGAGATTAAGTCTGAATGTGGGTGGCCGCATCCCTCGAAGAATGCCAGTAAGTGCCAGCATTTCCCTCTGTACCGAGTGTATATTCAATGACACTAGCCACACTAAGCTCCTGGTTCCATGCCTTCCACAACACGATAAGCTATCTCTCCAAACTGTGAGCTCAGATAAATCCTTATTTTAAAAGTTGTTTTAGTCAGGGTATTTTGGCACAGTAACAAAAACAAACAAAAAAAATCAAAGTTTTTCTAAAAAGTTTAAAAGCTTTTGAGGTCTTGGAGAGACAGCTTGGGGTGAAGGCGCTTTTTGCTAGCCCTGACAACTTGAGTTTCATTTCCAGGACCCACATGTTGAAAGGAGAGAATGGATTCCCATGTGTAATCTTCTAAATGCACATCTCAGCATAAACACATGTATGTAGACACACACAAGATAAATGTATATTAACATATAGTTTTTTGAAAGGGTATCTGCAGTGTATACTCTATTTTATGATTTTAAGATACATGCTTGACATCTTGATGCACCTAAAATAAGAATATCTCATGGTGGGACTGGAGAGATGGCTCAGTGGTTAAGAGCACTGGCTGCTTTTCCAGAGGTTAAGGCTTGGGTTCCCATAGGAAGCACCCATATGAAGGCTCACAGCCATCTGTAACTCTAGCAGATCCCACACTCTCTTTGGCCTCCACAGGTACTGCACACATGTGTTACATATACATACATGTAGGCAAAATACCATACATGTAAAATAACTAAAACTTAAAAATATTAAATAGCATTATTTGCATATGTAGTACTTGCATATCTAAAAGCTCAGTTTCATAAACAAGAAAAGTAAACATAAGGTAATGTTATACTTAAGATGCATAGAACCAAGGCAGGTGGCACACACCCTTAATCACAGCACCCAGGAAACAGGCCGGCCCTGTCTACACAGCAGGATTTACAACAGGCAGAGTTATGTAGTGAGACCTTCTTCAGAACACGCAAACCTAAAAGATGCATACACACACACACACACACACACATCCCTTCTAAGGTATATCAGTAGTATTCCTGTACATAAGTCATAGCTAGTTAAAAGGTTTTAGAAATTTAACATTAATACCAACAGCATTAGGAATAACAGAATTAATCATTTAAAAAGAGAGTCTTCTGAGTGTGGTCAGTCTGAGGATGCCGTGATCCTGGCATTCATTTCTAGGTCCGTGTCAGGTAGTGTGTGTAGCTGTGACCAACGTTCCTGACATACCACTACAAGGGAGGAATGGTCTGTTTCAGGGTTAGTCCAGCTAGGCTTGGCTGTGGCTGTAGTAACGTGACAGAGCGGGACAGCTCAAGGGCAGGAAGCAACGTGGTGAAAACAGAGGGC